GAAAGATAGGGAGGATACAAAGCACTCTGACAAATTCCCACGAAAGTGTTCCGGAGGCTTCTGTTTCTACAGGCTTCAGAGAAGCATAGTCATCAAGAGAACTTGAAGTTGAATGAGGATTTACTTGCTGCTGCTATTGTACCATACTTGCTAGCGGTACCCATTACTACATGTGTCATAGCATTGTTGCCTTTCCCATGCCCTGCTCTCACTACTACGCAGTGCTGCGGGCAAACCAAGCCCAAGAAGAACATGCGGTTTAGCGTTTAGGGTTCAGGGGTCTCTTACAGAAGGCATGATGGATTGAGCCAGCACAAAACCCCTACATGTCCCTTCTATCACAAGTGGAAACAAAACTTTCAGCAGATGCAAGACTCAAAACCTTCCCTGACTCCATAAGATCTTTTAAACCCGCAGGGGGGATGTAGAGTACAATATGGGGTCATATAAGGAATAGGGATCATGGAAAATAAGATGGAAATGACAATTAGGGTTAAGGCCGTTTTGCAAAAAACAATACCGAATACAACACCAAGACAGGGGACCCACTATGTTGCTGAGCATCCATTCCAGCCCCCCACCATACACTGCTGAACCCTAAAACCCAAACCCTGAACCCTACACCCTAAATCCTGACATGAACCTTAAGCCTAAGCCCCAAGCCATAAAGCCAAAAAACCAACACCCTGCAGCCCAGACCCTGAACCCCATCACCCAAACCCTGAACCCCATACTTAAGCTTAAGTCCCAAAAAATGACAAACCATGAACCTGAAGTTCCATTCAAGCCAGGCTGCTTCGCCGAGCCGACAGCACCTTTGCTGGAAGTGTCCGAGCCAAGAATCAGCAGGGCGACCTTGCGCAACGACGTGCAGCTTAGCGCTTCAGAGCTAGGGTTACCTTTTCGGTTTCAATGTTTCAGGTGGATAATCTAGGACCTGGGCTTCAGGGTTTAAGGGGGCAGGTTCTAAGGCACAGGTCTTTTGGGGGCTCAGGGTTTACGGCTTGGGGTTCAGGAATCGCGGCTTTGAGTCCAAGGCTCAGCGTAGGGGGTCAAGGCTAATGTTGAGGGTTCAGTATGAGGTGGCGGGTTTCCAGGTGAAAAAGAATCAGGCAAGGCACTTTGGAGATTGCGCGTTTTTGCTTTGAGGTCCTTTCGCCTGTTCTTCTGTATCGAGGCTTGAAAATATTTTGGACATTCAACATGTATGATACAAGTTACGGTACTGATTAAAATACATCCCAGTAATTTGAGTGAACGAACTGCTCGTGTCCCAAAGCCTTCGGATAACAGAAATCTCATCTAGCAGTTGCAACCTCCGGGGCCGAATTGCCCCTACCTTGCTCATGTCGATCTAGGGTACTAAGTAATAGTAATAGTAATAGTAACAGGAATATCTGCGGCTGCGCAAGACTTTGGCTGCTGAGCAGCTGGTAGGAGTCTGAAAAAAATGAAGAAGCAGTGCGACATGTACATTCGGCAATACTTAATAGTCGGCAATATCTTTAGCAGCAGACCCTTTCCTACCTCCATGCAAACCCAACACTGAACCCCCCCCACCTCTAAGCAGAGAAACTTAAATCAGACATTTGTATAGTCCGACCCCTAATTTCATGTTATAGTTATTAACCAAACGTTGCGGAGTGGGGGAAGTATCCAACGATAATCAGATCAAGTCAGGGGCCGTCCCAAAACCCTAAACCCTAAACCCTCAACCCTAAATTCCCACCCAGCCTGCTTAGGCCGTTCCCAGCCATTACTAGGGTGGTCAGACACTGAAGATACACGTTAGCCTTTGGGAGGAGCCTATGGAGAGTAGACGTATAGAGGATTTCAAGGCCAAAATCCCTCAGCCGTCGCCCCCATATTTTCAGCTTCCTTCCCGGAAGCGCCTTGGGGGGTCTGGGCCCCAGCTGCAGCAAATTTGCAAGGTGAGGGCCTTCTGGAGGCCCCTCAAAGCCCTGAGCAGGCTTCGGAGGTTCTGGAGAAAGCCCCTGCAACCCGGAAACCCCCCTGCAGGAGGCCCCTGGAGGCCCTGGCTCGTCCTGGTATTTACTTGAATGAGAAGCGAAGACGATCTTTTGGAGGCGGGAATTGAGGGCGTAGCCCTAAACCCTGTAGCCTGTGATTTCTCACAGCGGGTGGGAGTTTTGAAGAAAGCCCTGGATGGCTTCTTGGGCAACATCCACAAGGTTCGCTGGACGCAGGATGTGCCGCCACCCACAGATCCCTGGAAGTGGAGTGGCGCCATCGGCGCATGGATACTCAGCTCTGCGCAGGTAGACGCCCTAAACCCTAAACCCTAGCCTTAAACCCTAAATCCTAACCCTAAACCCGAGTTTTAGGGCTTTAGGGTTCAGGGTTCGAGGTCAGCGGCTTGATGTCTTCGCGCAAATTTGACATTCACTTTGCAACTGTTCAGACCCCTGGCTGCCAAGACACCGCAAAAGAAGGTATGTGGAAATGTAAGCCGGTGTCAGGGATTCTGCAAAGATGCAATGGAAAAACATTATGGAAACTCTCACACAAATGTTCTCAGGTTCCCCCTTCAGGATAAGTCCCATATCTAAACCCTACCGTCAGAACTAAACGCTGAAGCCTAAATCCAAAACGGTGAGCAACCAGAGAAGACATAGCCCAAACTCTAAACCCAAGACGTTAACCTTAAAGGCCTAAATCAGAAAACTCTAACGGGCCGATGCCTCATCTACAATGGCCAGGAGGACCAGGCTAAGGTCCTGGCAGTCCAGTAATTTCTTTTGCGCGCGGGGTGAGGAGTCACATAGGCATTCCTGTGGGGGGGGGAGTTTAGATCATGTGAGAGTCCATTGTAAGTACCTACTCTATACTATAGTTAGTTCTACAAGGCTTAATTGGGTGGGGCTTCCCAGGCTTCTGACAAGAGAATTTGGGTTAAGCGCTCCGGGGAAGGTTCCTCTCAGATGTTGTTTCGTAGGATCCTCAAAAAATACCCAGCACTTGGTTTCGTAACTGATGCGAACAAACTCAGCCTCAGAGGTAGTGACGAACTCTGAACATCATGTCCGAAACCCCAAACCTGAACCCCAGAAAAAATCTCCAAGCCCCAGCGAGGAATCATTTCCCCAGCACTTGCTCACAAATGGGGCCTATGGATAGGAAGCTGGTCCTGCATCATCGCTAGAAACCGTCCAAGGACACAAGATCACCTTCACAACAACACATCCGCTAAAGCCAAAACTCCTATAAAAATTCGCATGTAGCACACTCACCCACAGAGCCTTTCTGCCACAGGTTTGCGTTAGGTGGACCCCCCACCCTGTAACAGTGGCTATAAGGGATAATAAGGATTATATTGGGGTCTTATTATATTCCTACTATACCACTATTACAGGGCGGGGGGGCCCTCCAAAGGTTTGCACATGAAGTATGACCAATCTCGCTCTTGCCAGTGTTCACATCGATGGTGCTAGAGGTTTTATCATAGAAAGCCTTGTTTTGCGCGTTGGTCCCTTACCACTTATTGCTGCCTCTACTTCTGATAAGCTGATACTGCCAAATACTAAGACTGTATGAACCATACAAGGTTGCAAGATAGTTTCCCAAAACTGAAGGATCCTAAAGGGTACGCAAGCTAGCCGGCAGCTCCACACAACGCACAAGAGCCTCTAACGACAAGTACTTCATTTGCGCGAACTCTGAAACCTAAACCTTGAAATCTAAACCCTCAATCCCAAAACCCCTAAGTCCTGCACCCCAAACCCGAAACCCCCACTGAGCTCCCTGCAAAGAGGTTCCATGCCCTGGGCTCCAATTTCACGTCACTCCCACGCCGTTCGCGGGTGACGAAGAAGTCACAGCGGTAGTAGCAGAGGCGCAGAAGGACCTGAAGACTTGTGGGGGTGATTGGGGTTCATATACTGTTTATGCAGGCTTTGCATACCAATGAAACTCAAAATCATGTCGGGGCCTGAAAACCTAAGAATTCTACAAGTTCGGACATGCACAGGGGCAGCCAGAAGGGGAAGAGATACCAGTCTTTCAATGTAAAAGGTTGTCTGCCGCTCTGGCCTCATGAAAACTCCAAGTGCTACAAAAGGCAAGAATCACATCCAGGTTCTTGGATAGCCAGCTCATTGTGCTAGCCCTCATGGCATATTGAAGCTAAGAATGATACCTACAATGATCACAACTCCGACCACCAAACAAGCAGTGCTCATGAAGATGAAATGTCCTGGCAGTGCTACTTGGAGGGCCAGGGGGACTTAGTAAGTGGGTTAATAGTGGGGATACTTGGGGTTACTATATGGGTTATAGGGGTTATTAAGCTACTTACTAAGTACCCCTGACCCTCCAAGTACCCTGGGCGGGCAACAAGGCCTCGAAGAGAAAAAAGAAGTTGCAGAAGGAGGACAATGCCTCTCGACGGAAAGGATTTGGATGTGGTGATTTCCCTAAATTACTGTTCCCAAAATGGGGGAAATTTATGACGGGCCCCGTATTATAATAGGAACCCAAATATAGGACCCCATATTATAGGGAATTTAAACCAATACCCATGTAGGCTTCAGGGTGTTGCAAGTGGATGTGGGAGTTCAGCTTACTTCTCCCAAGGTTCAGGGAAATACATCATCCACCGCACGCTTCACTATAAACTCTTCTCCCTTGTTGCAGTTGACTTGTCCAAGAAGGAGCTTCAGGACCATGAGTTGGCCAAGGAGGAGGGTGTGCGACAGTCCATCCCTGGCCGCATCGGCCCGCTTATTCGATTCCGTGACGGCCTTGCTGTGCAGTGCACATCGTCGGGGTGCAAGCCCCCGCAGCCCGAAGGTCTGTGTGTCTCCAAGCAGGTCGAGAGCAAGGTGACGGGTGTTCTCTTTGTGAAGGTGCCTCATGCCTTTGCTTCTGCTGACCGCTGGCAGGCTTTCAGCAAGAGCCCTAAGCTTGCCATAGCCACCTGGGGCGAGCCGTGTGCAAACATTGGGCCTTGCCGTTCATGGCAGCAAGCTTGGGTGGAAGAGGCCGATCACGGCCGAGACCCGTTTCCCTGGTGTGTGGCAGCTCAATGGATGCCCCAAGTCATGGGACTTTGTGCAAGCCTTGGCGGTCGTCGAAGACCATTTTCAGGATGTCCGCATGATCCGCCAGCACACCCGTGGAGCCGACAAAACCTTCTTGTTCAGGGGTGCGGCCACGGCTGGGGCCGAGTGCGATCTGTTGCCCATAGCCACTCAGGATGGGGATGGATCCCAGCTTATGTTGTGGGCCAGTTTGGCGCCTGCCAAGGCTGAACAAGTCAAACAGAAGCGCATCAAGACAGGTGCCCTGCCCTTCGTTACGCCGACCCCTGATATCTTCACGCCGGTTGTTCAAAGTTTGCCGGTGAAGCCCTGCCAGGAAGCTGCTTCGGAGGATGCGGCCATGCAAGGTGACGCCTCGCCTTCTGCGGGTGCCTCTGCCGTCAAGGACAAGCCGAAGCCAGAGACTGCCGATAGTGACGCCGCGGCAAAGAGGCAGAAGGTTACAGTCCGGGAGGTGCCCAAAGGTTGTGTTCTGCAAGCGGCTGCTAAGGATGGCAACTGCATGTACCATGCCGTTGGCGATGGCCTGCGCTGGCTGAAAGAGCAGCCCAAGGCGTTCCACCACCTTGACCTTCGTGCCCGTGTTGCTGAGCACCTTGCCAGACACAAGGAGGACTATGAGCCTACGTGGTCCAGTGACGGCCGTCCCGGGCCTGATGGCACTGCCTTGCCGGACTGGGATGCCTTTGTTACGCAGGTTGCCTTGCCTAGCAAGTACAGTGGCGAAGCTGAGCTCAAGGCCTTGTGTAGGCTGTTTTCCATCAGGGTCATTGTCATCCCTGCTGACCCCTCTGGAAGGTCTGCTCCTACGGCAAGGCGAAGTACAAAGATGTTGTTGCAATTTCCTTTGCTGATAAGCACTTTGACTTTGTGAAGCCGGATGGCAAGTACACCAAAGACATCTCAGGCGTTGTTGCTGATCCCAATGGTGGATTTCTTGTTGGCGGCGTCAGTGAGGCTTGCTCCGACTCCTCTTCTGACAGACCCGTTGGGGCTGGCCTGTCTCAGGCCCGTACTTCTGTGTCTGGCCGGACCAAGCCGAGGGGACGAGGCGTGTCCCTTGCACGCACTTGCACCGCTCGCACCGTTCCTGCTCGCAAGCTTGCCTCCGTGCGGAAAAGCCATCTTAAGTCGTCTGCAGGTGCCAGCCAGGTCGTTGAGCGTCAACTTGCCTCTCTGGTCGAGGAGTGCAATGCCAAGCCCCAGCGTCGCACGGGGCGCCCTCAGCTTGTGCAGTGGGTTCAAGCAGGCTATGCCAGGTGCAGTTTGTGCCCATTCAGGTATAAGACCACCGATGCCAAGGTTGCCCAGGTCAAGCTTGCCGCGCACTTTCGCACCCGCCACAAGGGTTGCAAACCTGCCGGTCTTGGCATGAACAACCGGATGCCGTCGCTGATCTGCGACCTGTCGCCGGACCAGGCGGCGGAGTGGCGCTGTCCGTATTGCAGCAAGGGGATTAGCTTCGAGGCTGCCTGTGCGGCAGGGAAACAGCGGATTGCGCCCAACAAAATGCAGCATAAAAGGGAGTTCCATCCGCGTGTTGCATGGCAAAAGTGGAGGGGTGCTGATTATGTTCGCAGGGGCTGCGCCACCGGGGCCCGCTTCAAGGGTTCGACCTGCTCTGCTCACAGACTCGACGGCACCTCCTTTCGAGCTTTCAACTCTTTAGGTGGCCCAGCTGGATCGGCGAGGTTGGCGCCAAGCAACAGGTCAACCCCATCAAGTTCTGCCCTTCCTGGGTCTGCAAAACCTGCCATGCTCCCTGCAGAAATGTAGGCGACGCCGAGCAGCGCCTCAAGGATAAGTGTGCTCGCAGGCCTTCGCCGGGACACCTCAAGTCCCTTGCGCAGAGGAGGCTGCGTAACCTCTCGAAGGACAAGGCCCGCTTTGTTGCAAGCAGGGTTGCTGGGGTGCAGCGCGCCCGTGGCCTTGAGTTCTTTGCCACCGTCAAGGAAATCTTTGAGCGGCTGCAGTCGCCGTGTTTTCTGAGAGCTTTGTGCCTCAATGTGGCCAGGATGGGGGTTAGCTGTGGAACTGCGCTCCGCCCTCTGCTTGCTGCCTGGCGCGTTGATTTAGTTGCCCTGTCTGAAGCTGACGTGAATTTTGACTCAGGGGCTACCTGGGTCACGGAGTGGAAAGCTGCTGGGTGACATGCTTGCCTGAGTGCCCCGTCTGACAATGGGGTATCCAGAGTTGCCTTGCTTAGTCGGCTTCCCTTCAAGCCTGTCCAGCTTTGCCAGCATGAGGGTCGAGGGCGCCAGGCTTCGGCTTTGATCGATGTGGTCACTGCTTCGGGTACGGACACCCTCCTTTGCGTCGCCGCCTACCTGCAGAGTGGGCAGCGGGCTGTGGCCGAAGCGCAGCTCCATGATGTCTTGGCGGAGG